TAAATGAGACATTTGTTAAGTGAGTTTGCCCCATTTTACAACCTTTCTTGTGCCTCAGTTGTTAAGTGAATCACTGCAGTTGATAAGTTAGTAACATTGTTGTTCAGCGAATCTGGCTTCCCCATTGACTTTATCAGATGGTTGCAAAAGGGGATCACGTGATCCCGGGACACCGCAACCGTCATAAATACATGCCAGTGGTCAAGCATCCGAATTCTGATCACGTGACCCTGGGGATGCTGCAATAGTCGTAAATGTGAAAAACAGTCTTAAGTCACTTTTTTGAGTGCCGTTGTAAGTTTGAACAGTCACTAAATCAACTGTTGTAAATCAAGGACTACCTGTAAACCATTTTTTTTAAGTCAAGAAATAAAAAGGCCAAGAGACATCCATTGTTTTCTCCTTTCCCTGTGAACCTGGGAGGTAGAATTTCAACAAATGCGCTTGTTCTCAACAAGAACAGGCACAGCTGTCCTATCATTTGGCATCTCTGTTAGTAGGAAGAACACAAGTACAAGAAAAATCTGAATTCTCCGAGTGCTGGGAAAATTATCTAATTCAATCCTTCGCATCTCCAAATTAGCAATCCAGGACAATCCCTATCAATCAGGTACTAGCTTTAACATTGTGCTAAGTCACTGTTACTTTTAATCATGGTTTGACCAACCCATTCTATCCTTGTTTCAACTTAGCAATAAACTCTAAACCTTGGTTTACATGCCATGATGGCTGGTTTACATGCCATGATGGCTGTTTACATGCCATGATAGGGGTTCATGGATCTTACTAAGCTGTAACTAAGCAAGTCATATCATGTCTCAACGCAATGCATGAACCAACCTGATATAAATTGATTTCTTATTGACTAATAAGTTTTTGCAGATCTCAGTTGCTGAGAGTAATTTAAATTTGTGTTTAATGTTTTATGAAATTATTTCCCCCCCTCAATTTTGACAACCTAAAATACAAGGACGCATCAAACTCCAGAAAATTACATCCCATTATTTTTGTATCAGAGTTTGGAGGTTGTGGCTCAAGGTCAAGAAAAGGATGCTGTTTACAGGTAGTCCTCAACTTACAACCTCAACTTACAACCACCACCAGCAACATTTCTATTGCTAAATGAGACCATTGTAAATTGAGTTTTTATAACTCTCTTGCCATAGTTAACTGAATTACTGCAGTTGTTAAGTGAACCTAGCATCCCCACTGATTTTGCTTGTCAGAAGGTCGTAAAAAGGGATCACACTGCAACCGTCATAAATATGAGTCAGTTGCCAAGCATCTGAATTCTGATCACGTGACCGTGGGGGATGCTGCAATGGTCATAAGTGTGAAAAATGGTCATAAGTCACTTTTTTTCAGTGCCATTGTAACTTTGAACGGTCACTAAATGAACTGTTTTAAGTCAAGGACTACCTAGACCAGTGATGGTGAACCTATGGCATGCATGCCAGAGAGGGCACTCAGAGCCGTCTCTGTGGGCACACATGCTGCCACCGCCAGCTCATGCAGGTCCATTAGGCCAGGGCTTTTCAACCAGTGGTATGGGTACCACCTGTGGTACATTGACACCTGGCAGGTGGTACGCGACCATCCTAGAAAAATTGTAGCGGGGGAGGGGAATGAGCTGAACCAGTGGCAGCACCACACAAGCCTGAGCGAGAGACGGCTGGAACTGCAGGGCTGTCAGGGCTCAGCGGAAGCGCCAGGATCAGCGCCAGGCTCCAGCTGGAGTTCAGTGCCAGGCAGCGCTGATCCTGGCGCTTCTGCTGAGCCCAGAAGAAGCGCCAGGATCAGCTGGGATGTTGCAGCATCTCCAGGGTCTTGTGATTTACATTCAGATGCTTGGCACAGTGTCCCAGGGTCACGTGAAGTGACCAAAACCTGCTACAACCACCCAGCAGACGGGGGGAATAAAAACCAAACACCCCCACCCCACCCCCGCTGCCAATCCTCAACAGAAATGCTCACAACAATGAAAACCTCGGACAGGAGGAAGAGCGCCTCCGGGCGGGCCGGCAGGTGTCTTGCTCGGCTATGGCTTGGGGGGCACTTTTTTCAGTGCCATTGTAACTTCGAACGGTCACTAAGTGAACTGTTGTAAGTCGAGGACTACCTGTACTTTATCACTTTTTTCCTTTTTTTTTTTGGGGTCATCAAGTTTTTGACCCCTTGCTAGGCGACTGGTGGTACTCGGATGTTGCCATATCCTAAAAGTGATACAATGGGTGAAAAGGTTGAAAAGCCCTGGCCTAGATGCTCCAGTGGGGGCTTCTATACTGGAAGTTTCTTTTACTGAGAGCACATCAAAGGAGAAGGCGAGGCTGGCTATTTACCGCTGGCACCCGGAGCTGGCACCCGGAGCGGCAGCCCCACCCAGCACAAAGGAGGCGAAGCAGCTGGCTAGCAAGCTCGAGTAGAGGTGGTAGAGCAGGCCCCCATGCGCTCGCTGGCCTCTGTGCGCGGGGGCTGATGGTGTCAGGCAGCAGCAGCCCCTGCCTCGCCTTGCCCCGCAGCAATGGCACCCCTGCCTCACCCCGCAGGATGAGCCTCCTGACGACTGCCCCACCCACCAGAGACCCCCTCGATCTCCCCCAATCCTGCCCAGCCCCCACAGGAGTCCCCCCCACGAGCAACGTCAAGGCGGCCACGCCCACTCCAGCCACGCCCACTCCGTCTGCCATGACCACCGCAGCCGTGCCCACCCAGTGGGCCACGCCCACGCCCACCCCCACCGAGGGCTCCACAATGCTGATGGGGCCCTGGCACTTTGCGATACATAAGTGGGTTTTGGGTTGCGGTTTGGGCACCCGGTCTCTAAAAGGTTCACCATCCCTGACCTAGACTTTATTCTTACGTTCCAGGACTGAGCACTGCTAGTGCTGACGGAGTGAGCCCTTGAGGGCAAAGCATCTTGTATCTTATTTTGTCTGATTACAGACCTCATGGCCAACTGCAGGCTTGAAAGGACAGACAAACGTAAACACACGTGCAGAACATTCCAGGAACCGCTTGGATTTTAATGCCACCTCTACGAAGTGTATTTGAGTTTCAGCTTTGGTGGAAGAAGATAATGCAAGTTTCAGAAGCCAGCCCCCCTTGGCTGGATCATTTGTATAAAAGACTTGGGTGTAGCTACCAAAAAGGAGATAATGCTCTCCCCCCCACCCACCCCCCAGGCATTGCAAGAACGCATTTCCCTCCGGAAGGGAAAAAAAAATCTCACTTCTCACCTCTAACAGATACCATTATATTTCTACATCTGTTGGAAAGGACGTTGAAGGCTTGGAAGGTGCGCACAAACGGTTAAACCTTTTTCAAAGAGTAACTAAAAAGGATCTTAACACATCAGACCAGAGGTTCCTATTCTGACAAGCCCTTCCTTTTAAATGCTTAGCGCAGAGTAGTGTTGCAGCTTTCCTTCTAAAATTCCGGCAGGCAAAAAAATACAGCCGGCGCAGCTTTTCCAGGGCTAGAGACGTGACAACTAAGCAACTTTCCTTGGGGAACATCTTCCTAAAAGTAGGAAATCTCCAGGGGGAGGGAGGGAGGGAGGGAGGGAGAAAATAAGATGGCAACTCTTCTTCCTTAAGACATTCCAAGGAACATTTCCTCCCCTTTCTCTTTCTGTCTGTGTTTTCCCCCATGCACAGACCTTTGCCCTCTCGCAATCTTCTAGGCAAGGCACCCTTTGCTAGTCATGCTCAAAAGCTGGTTTCAGGAAGAAGGGTGGGAAAACAAGAAGTGTTAAGCCTAAAATAAAACCCGAGAAGAATTGAGGGCTTTTCAGCCCAAGCATTCGGAAAGAAGAACTGTCACCTCACCCCTCTAGCAGAGGACTGCACTAAAAGCACAATTCCATACAACTCAAAGCCAGAACAAAGAATACAACGTTTTTTGGGGGGGTTCTCCTTTAATCATCACAAATTAGCTTAAGACTTCAATTTGAAATCCTGCCTCCAGAAGCTGTGAATGCTCCAACACTGGAAGTTTTTAAGAAGAGACTGGACAACCATCTGTCTGAAACGGTACAGGCTTCCTGCCTGAGCAGGGGGCTGGACTAGAAGACCTCCCAGGTCCCTTCCAACTCTGTTGTTCTGTATTCTGTATTCTTTTCTGATCATACCACCTTGGGCAGATCTTTCAAAAGAAGATCCAAATTAAGCCTGGAACCGTGAGAAACAGAATTAAGGAAAGGATTTCTTCAAGCAGGACATCTTTCCGTGGGCAGGAACAACCAACCCCCTTAAGGCCTTAGGCACAAGAAACATCAAGCTTTAAAAGCTAAAAAAAACCCAGGTAAGCTACGATCTCTCTGTGTTAAGAAATACATATATTTCTGGATACAACGGCCAGGGGTGAATCTCAGGGCTGCCACGAGCACAATCTGCATTCAACCCCCGATTGAGCCCACCTCCCTTCTCTCCGACCCAAGCCACCAAGTTCTTCACTGCCCCCTAGGGTTGCCAGGTCTGCTTCCAAAAAATAGCGGACAAGCGGGGTGGGTGGGTGGTGAAGTAGTAAAAAAAAAGTAGACTGTACAGCTTTAGGTTACGTACCATTTCATCATAAAGCTTTTGAATAAAAAACAAACGTCCACTGTTTTGTGAAAAAAGATAGCGAACATAATGTGAAAATAGTGGACTGTCCACTCAAATAGTGGACACCTGGCAACCCTACTGCCCCCCCAAGCAAGGAAACGCTCTCTGACGCCCTTCCCCGCTCTGCAAAACGCCAACTTGGCTCCTAGAGCCTTGAGGACTGGAAACTTGAAAGAGCCGCCCCGGCCAAAGGAAACTGGCGGCGGTTGTTAGCCACTCAGCCCGAAGCCTCGTCTGCTGCCAAACGAGAGTCGGCTCCAAACCGGGGCGGGATCGCGAGAAGTGGCCCGCGGCCAAACTGCAAGGTGCGCGGAGACGCAACAGGAGAGGAGCAGCCCGCTGCCTTTTCAAGGCGCCCCAGACGGCTCCTCCGCCGCCGCCTCCTCCTCTACTTACCGCCGGCGACGAGCAGCAACGACAGGAGCCCGGCGAGGCTCAGGCCACCCGGCAGCCCCTCCATGGCGGGACCCAGGTGGATCGACGGCGGCGGCGACGACGACGCTGCCCACTGAAGAGAAGCGGCGAAGGGAGCCCAGCGGGAGGATCCTTCGAACAGCCCGGCCGGCAGGTGCACTGAGGCGGGAGGCGGCGTTCGCGGCTCTACCTTCGCCGGTGACGGACAAGCCGTCTAACCTGTCGGGGAAGGGCTGTCCTTCGGGCCGGAGCCAGTAAGAAGCGGCAGACACGCTCTCATTTGCATAGGGGCGGTCCTCCCTCACCTGGCGGGCGCCGCAACCTGGTTGCTGGCTTTAAGCTTTGGGGGGGGGCGGTCAAAGCAGACCCTGGCCTTTTCAGTCTACGAGGTTCAGCAACGAACCCCCCAAATTGAGTTTTCCCCGGCCGGGGCTTTTGGGAAGAGGCATCTGAAGGATCACCCTGCTAGCTTCCCCCTTGAGGCTTCTCTAAGGTTTGGTGGAAATGGTAATGGGTCGTCAAAAGGCAAAGAGGCTCTAAAATAGCGGGGTTTTTTTTAACATCTTGGCCATTTTAAGATGGGTGGACTTCACGGCTGGCTGGGGAATTCTGGGAGTTGAAGTCTACCCGTCTTAAAGTGGCCAAGATTAAAGAAGAGGGAGTCAAGCTATTTTCCAAAGCACCTGAAAGGCAGGACAAGAAGCAACGGGTGGAAACTGATCAAGGAGAGAAGCAACCTAGAACTAAGGAGAAACTTCCTGACAGTGAGAACAATTAATCCAGTGTTTCTCAACCTTGACAATTTTAAGGCATGTGGACTTCAACTCCCAGAATTCCACAGCCAGCATTGCTGGCTGTGGAATTCTGGGAGTTGAAGTCCACATGCCTTAAAATTGTCAAGGTTGAGAAACACTGATTAATCAGTGGAACAATCTGCCTCCAGAAGCGGTGAATGTTCCAACACTGGAAGTTTTTAAGAAGAGACTGGACAGCCATTTGTCCGAAATGATATAGGTTTCCTGCCTGAGCAGGGGGTTGGACTAGATGACCTTCAAGGTCCCTTCCAACTTTACTATTATTATTATTATTATTATTATTATTATTATTATTATTATTATTATTATTACAAAAGACAGTTGGAGAAGGTTACACTAGTAAAGAAGCTAACACCTTAAAGGAGGGCGAGCGTTCAGGTTTTGTTATATAATTCAGATGCGGGATCTCTGATATTTCATCATTCAGATGCAAAGCCAAGAAACTGGGCCAGCCTCAGAGTCATGCTATAAGGATGTTGCTTATTCTTTCTTATCAGCTTAACCAACAAAGAGAATAGAGCCGTATGTCGGCTAAATGGCAAATGGGATTTTTTTTCAAACTGTTGAATGAGGAAAAAATTATTTTTCTGATAACGAACGGTAAATAGCCAGTTTAAGGGGAAACAGCTTCAAGCAGCTTTGCCTGTTGTTTGACGTTAATTCCATTCTTGTCTGAAATTTATAGAAGATCCATCTATCTTGTCTGTATCGATTTGTGTCGATTTAATCTGAAGTTCACTAAAGTAAGAAATGTTAAATTAAATCCCGATTGTATTTTCCTTCTTAATCTTTTTGCCCCAAGGAATTAAGTGAACAAATATATTTGTTGTCTCCTAATTTTCTTCGTCACGGCAGACTTGTGAGAGAAGTAAATCAGATAATCACAATCTCCCAGTTATCTGAGGATAATCCAGCAGCACCTTTTCTGACTAGCGTTTATTATTAAAAAGAATAAGTTTTCATGAGCTGCCTTCTAATATAATTTGTTAGTTTAAAAAAATGCTATCAGATTTCTGTGATAGATAGATAGATAGATAGATAGATAGATAGATAGATAGATAGATAGATAGATAGATAGATGACAGATAGACATTTTTGTCACTGTAGATTGCCACAGTTCTTACAATATCTTTCTGTATCGGACTCATTACAGAATAACAGAATAAGAGAGTTAGAAGGGACCTTGCTGTGGGCTGGGACTACAACTCCCATGATCACTTGCTTCAACCATGCTGTTTTGCGTTCATAAATTGTTCAACACATCTGGAATGTGCCAGCCTAAGAGTTTTGGAAGTTAATGTGAAATCGGATCAGTTTATAATGTCCAACTTCTAAATATGTTGGATAACAATTCTCAGGTAAGGTCTTCTGTGTTATGATAAAGTTAAGGTTAATGCAGATTTAAGAATCATTATATTGGAAGTGCCATTTTGAGAATATAAAACCAGACTGCACCTGAAAATGCCTCTCTGGATTTCAGCACAGGAAGCATTTTACAGAAAAGAAACAATAGATAAAGAAAAATGAGTACCTTATCAAGAGTTGCTAGAACAGGAATATAAAATGAAATCAAGAGAAAACTGGCTGCCGAAGAATTTAACTTTCAGCAGTTTTTGTATGCCTAACTAAGAGAAAGATTTAAGGTAGATAACTGGACATTTGGAATTAAGCAGCAGAAGACAGAATTTTAACTCAAAATGTGTACACCTGATGAACATATAATTGGTATAATGATTAATTTTATGGAAATTTGAAACAGAAGAACAAGTGAACGATAATATGATAAAATGGTCTCCAACATACTGATAGAACAGTGGGAAAATATGTAGTTAAAAGGACTGAAATGTAGATTATAACTGAAAAGAGAATATTTATAAAAGGTTGGTGTGTGGTTCCAGAAAAACTGTCTAGATAGAATGTATGAACGTTCATCAAATTTCTTTTGGAAATGTGGACTACATGGACATGTCAAGGGACCTTGTGGAAAGGGCAGAAATTGCTGAGTTCAGATGCATATAATGATACAAAAAAGTTTAAAGATCAGCATTCAACTGAAACCAGGATTTTTCTCATTGGAATTAATGGACACTCAATTAGAAAACACCCATGGAAGATTATTTTTTATAAATGATTACTGCTGCATGGTTATTGTATGAGCAAAAATGGAAATACTTTGAACTATTCACAGCAGTACAGTGGTTGATGAAGATAATAGAACTAGCATATTAATCTGTTGGATTAGAGAAAGATCAACAACTATGTTTATTAGTGACTGAAAACCCTTTATGGACTTTTTGATGGAAGAAAAAGAAAAATGAACTTCTGATTTAGAGGTTTCAAGATCAGAAAGGGTAGCTTATGGAAAGAAAGAAGTGATAATGTATCCCTAGAAGGGGGGCAAAATAAAAATTTTATAACCACTGTCAAGAAAATCAGAAATATCTCCCTTATAATCTTTCTTTTCCTTTTCTTTCTTTTTTTTCTATTTTCCTGATTATGATATATTTTTATTAGCTGCATTCTCTCTCATGGTTTTTACTTCGTTAAAAATGCCTTTAATTAAAAATTATGGATAACAATTCCCAGACAGATTGGAGACAATGGGGATTGTAAACTATAATAATAATAATAATAATAATAATAATAATAATAATAATAATAATAATAATAATAATAATAATAATAATAATAATAATAATAATAAAGTTGGAAGGGACCTTGGAGGTCATATAGTCCAGGAAACTCTATACCATTTCAGACAAATGGCTGTCCAGTCTCTTCTTAAAAACTTCCAGTGTTGGAGCATTCACCGCTTCTGGAGGCAAGTTGTTCCACTGGTTAATTGTTCTAACTGTCAGGAAGTTTCTCCTTAGTTCTAAGTTGCTTCTCTCCTTGATCAGTTTCCATCTGTTGCTTCTTGTCCGGTCTTCAGGCGCTTTGGGAAATAGCTTGACTCCCTCTTCTTTGTGGCAGCCCCTGAGATATTGGAACACCGCTATCATGTCCCCCCTCGTCCTTCTCTTCGTTAAACTAGACATACCCAATTCCAGCAACCGTTCCTTATATGTTTTAGCCTCCAGTCCCCTAATCATCTTTGTTGCTCTTCTCTGTACTCTTTCTAGAGTCTCAACATCTTTTTTACATCGTGGTGACCAAAACTGGATGCAGTATTCTAAGTGTGGCCTTACCAAGGCATTGTAAAGTGGTATTAATACTTCACGTGATCTTGATTCTATCCCTCTGTTAATGCAGCTGGCAAAAAGCTGGCAATCAATTTTCTGGCAAAAAGCCAGGTTGGATTGAAGGCTATCAGGTTTCCTATCTTAAACCTGAAAGTTGCATTATGATAATCAGTATTAATTTAATTGACACAGTAGTCTTCTGAGATCACTTTTAGACCCAGGCTTATAAATGGAAACCAAAGCAAAAATATATTAAACTTCCATAGCTCCATTCAAGGATAGAGCTGAATTCAAAATGTTTGGACTCCACTTTTAACTTGTTGCATCAGCCTGATTCTCAGAAGGTATTTTTGATACGATGTTCTTCTAAAGAGCAGGAAAACTCTGCAAAATATAAGCATTTATCACCAGGGATGATAACTACTTATCATGTTTGGCAAGAGAGAGAATATTCCAAATTGATATTTTGGGCGGAAGAGCTATATTATTTTGTGTTATTCTCTTTACATTACACATAGTCCTTGACCTGCAACCACAATTGAGCCCCAAATTTCTGTCGCTAAGTCAGTTTTGCCCCATTTTATGACTTTTCTTGCCACAGTTGTTAAATAAATCACTGTAGCTGTTAAGTTGTTAAGATTAAGCCCTAAATCATGCTTTAGAAATCACAGTGCTGGCTTCCACCCCATGCCAAACAAATTACATGCTGATTCTGCATGAGAGATGAACTCAATCTGGGAAGCCATACTGGTTTTAGTGGTCTTTGATGCCCCAGTTACAACTCTTAAGAACTTGTTATTATATTATCCATGTGTTTTAAGGCCCACGTCACGTCCATGTAAATAAGATAAACATTGAGTATTAATTATGCCATCTAAAGGAATTATTACCTCTGGCAGCTAAATAAATGACTAAGAGTCATGATGGTTTATACAACTGCCACAAAAGAATATCAACCTCTGAATACCAGTCCTTTAAAAACAAAGAGATAGGAGACATGATTGTCCTTATGTAATGGTCTCCAGCCTTGGCAACTTTACGATTTGTGGACTTCAACTCCCAGAATTCCTCTGCCAGCATGGCTGCTGAGGAATTCTGGGAGTTG